GCTGGTTGCTAACTAAGGAACTGTGCTCTCAAACCCAGGTATAGCCTGGGCTTGAAAACCGAGAAATTCCCCACTGTTTTAGGTGTGACAACACACATTTCCATGGAGGTTTTATGAAGTACTACACACGAAACCTGCCTATAGTTGAACCCCTGGGTTCAACAGATTATTATATTGGCCTTTGTAGGCAGACCTGCTGTGGAAAATTATAGAGTCTTAGAATCACAGAATGGTTTGTGTTAGAAAGGACCTTAAAGCTCACCCAGTTCCACCCCCCTGCCACAGGCAGGGACACCAACCACATGGTTGCTCCAAGGCCCATCCAACCTGGCCTTGAACACTTCCAGGAATGGAGTATCCACAGCTTCTCTGGGCAACCTGCACCAGTGTCTCACCATCCTCAGAGTAAGGAGTTTCTTCCTAATATTTAATCTAAATCTACCCTTTTTCAGTGCAGCAGGAGGTTACTGTTGATTTCTGCCATGTGCTCTAGCTGCTTTTATATAAATAACAAACTCTTTAAACCTTGGAATCAATGTTCTTTTTCTTTCTTTTCTCTTTGAATTAAAAATGCCTAAAGTCTTTCCAGGATCCCATAGGAAAGAGTTTGATCTATGCCCCTTTTGGGATTGTTTTTGAGGAGTAGCTTTGCTGCGGAGCTGGTGGAATTCATGCAGGTCAGAAGTGATGGAAAGGGTAGAGAGAGAGTAAAGGGATGGCACACATAAAGGGAAAATGGCATTATTGTCTGCTCAAAAGTTAATTTTAACCTTGCAGAGATTTTGGAAAATGTTCCATTTTTCTATAGTTTCATGAAGCAAAAATAGAATTTTTTCTCTTTCTAGTCACCATGGAAACACAGAAACAATGATTACAGGAAATTTTCTGTACTTGTGGGATCAGGTTTATGTTATCACTGGATGACACGGAAGTTAAACCACTCACGAACCCTTAGCAGTGTTACTTGGCAAGGCTGCCACAGCTGACAGGGAATGAACCTCACAAAGGTCCTCAAACATCTGGAGCAGCTGGAGTCACTACCTTACTGGAATATATTCACTCTAGCTGCTGTTGGCTCAGTCTATAACCTACTTTCAGGAAATGATTTTGAGAACAATTAAATACTGAAACTGTGACAATGTCCAAGCATGTGTTTTATAGTCCAAAAGACTTAGTGGCCACCAGCACATCAACTCCCTCTATGTTCCCTTAAATCTCTCAAAGGAAAGGTCAGCAAGGAATACAGCATTTCAGAAGCAGTCATAAACCAACACTTATCTCTACTTAAAGGCAGGGAGGGAGATACAGATGGTGTTGCATCAGTAAATAGCCATTATGGGCCTTTGGTGGGTGATATGAGATTTAAGTCACTAACAATAAAAATTTATTAGAAATAAACACAGAAGCATGAAACAGAGTTGGGGGGAGGGGGGGAAGAAGAAAGAAAAAAGGAAGAGAGGAAGGAATTCAATATGCCAAGAAGTGCTCCAGATGTCACAAAGCAGCATGAGACCCAGGTCTATAAACTGCCTGCAGGAATCAAATACACTTCTGTTATGCAGACCCCAGTTGCTACACATCAAAGGAAAAGCATGAGATTACAAGTATCTCTGTGCCTGTGTTGCTGCTATAACATATATTTCTGAAAGGATTTGATGCTGCTTCACTCCTCTTTGCAAAGGAACTGGATTCATGCTTTTGCTGTCTCCAATAAGGAGTTTGCTGGAGCCTCATGCAGCTTCTCCTTCATAAGTTTCTTCCCTACTTCCCATTCAGAAAACTACCCATTTCCCCCAAATAGTGAAAAGCTGCTGACAACCCTCTTGCAAAGGAAGTGTTAGGAGGGAAATAACATGGTGTCAAAACCTAGTCACCTGGAAGAGCTACTCACCCAGAAGTCATCTAGAAGTTGAGAATTGTTTGTGAGCATTTGGGTACAAGGTCTTGCTGCTTCTGTTTCAGCGTCTGAAGGGGATGGAAAGGATTTCTAGTGATCTGCTGTCTCTGCATTTGTCCCCTCATGTTCCTATGAAACAGGTTTTCATTTATATTAAATTCCTTCTGAAATGGTCACGTAAGCCATACTGCTTCACCTCAGGAGTGTGGAAATCACAGACCAGACTTCCTTGTTTTTCCTGTCTTTGGTTGCCCTATTTGGAGTTTGTATGTTATGCATCACAGTGACATGCCATATCACATATAGGGAGCCCATGCTCCTCCCCACAGAACAGTTTTGAGTGCACAGGGAAAAGAATAACTTCTTTGTCATTTGTGACTTAGAACGATGGACAGGAGACAGTATAGTAGAAGAGATGGTCTGTCTGGTGTTTGCAGTGGCATCTCTGTTGACAAAGGGACTGCAACTCTTGGCTAATAAATGCATTTTGAATCTTTGCATGTCACTGTCCATAATCCCTAGCATGGGGTCACTCTAACCTCTGGTAAATGTGTGGTTTGTCTATATCCTGCACTACACAGCTACAAGTGAATCAAATTACAGTTAGGTTTGTCTTGTAATCTGCTCAAAGTTTAGGCTGGTTACTTTTAAATGCAACCTACAAAGCTGAAGCACTCTGCTTGCAGACTGTAACTACTTCAAATTTATGGCCTGAGATAAAAAGTTCTCTCCCACTGAGCCCTTCCTAGGAGGTTGTTAAAATTAAAGGCAGTGTATTAAAAATCTGTTACATCTTTTACTAGTGAGTCATAACCTGTTCACCTGTGGGAAAATGAGCTTGCCAGTCCAGTATCTGAATTGCTGCCTTTTCAGTCTTTGAGAGGTGTCTGCTCTTTGTTTCCAGGTGGTTGCCATGATGGAGGCTATCCACTGCAGGAAAAGCAATAATTTAACATATCCTGTAATACAGTGCAGTAGACCAGAGTATAATGGCACTACCTGGAGAGGACAGAAATCTTTTAAATAGAACAAATTTCCTTTCTGCATAAATTAGAAAAAAAAAAAAAAAAAAGAAGCATAATTTGGGGAAGCAGATAGTGCAATTAAATATTCTTTTTTGGTTTTATATTTTCTAGGCAATAGAAATGGAGGCAGGGGAGATGAAGCAACCTGGAGTAAGTAACTCCTGGAGCGATGTAGAATAAAGAGGGCAGTAGTAAATCATCTGTTTGAGAGACTCAGCAGTTTCCCCCAAGAAAATCAACTAATCTTTAGGCTCCTAACATACACACACTTACACATATACATCTTCTGCAGCTGGATTTTAGACATACATATATGCTTTCATAAGCATGAATATTGTATTTAAGATACTTTCTACAGATATTCTTATCTTCTACTTGCTCCATGTCATTTCCATCTCTGCAAAGGTTGGGGATGCTATAAACACCTGTGGGCTCATAAATCTTATGTGCTTATCCTAGAGATGTCTCTATGTATGCTATTTTAGGCAGCATCTATCATTCATCATTGTAGAGTGCACCTATGGTAAAAAAAAAAAGAACTATTGTACCAAATCTGATCTCTGACAAAGCAGACACAGGCCAGCCCTTTAGTGATGGCAGTGACTGGATGGTTTATTATAGAGGGCAGAATGGAGAGCTGTGCAGTGTGTGAAAAATCTGACACTTCATCTTTTCTGTTCTATGGATTCTTCCAACTTCTTCACAAAAGGAAAAAAAAGAATACTAACATATTGGTGTAATAGGCTTTCACAGGAAAGCTTTTTCCTATTTTCACGTAGGAAAAATCCAACCATCCATATCAAGGTCCTAGTCATGGGTACTAGATCAGAAAGCATTTCAGAGTGTTTTGAGTTAGTGAAGCGTTTCAGAATATTAATAATGAACAACAGTTGAAAACAATGAATGTACTTCCAGAAGGAGTATTTCCATTTTGGGTAACCAATTTTAAGCCTCCTACTTAGCCACCCAGTCCCCCATGGACTCTTCTATAGTCCACAGAGGAAGACAAGTTGCTTCAGAAAGCTGAGGATGACTCAGCTCAGGAATGCACTTTAGATTGTGCCCACTTACTGTCCCCTAATCCAAACTGCATGCTGTCTACAATGAATGAGATTTGTCCAAAACATACTGTTGCCCATTCAGTTTATAAGGACCAGGGAAGAGCTGAACTGAAGTAAAACCTTGAAATGCACTAACTGTGGGCTCTGCACCCTCAGCACCAGCTGTTTCACTTCATAAGCCCATTCCTGCTGAGTTGTGCTACTTAGTAATGCAGAGAAAAATGACTACATTAGGTACCAAATCACCTTTAGGGTGTTCCGCTCCCCAGTCTTTGCCTGCTTCAGAAGGAGCTTAGAGTAAGCTTAGCCACCTAACTCAGGCTTCTCAACCTTAACAGTAGAAATGGAGAGTGGAAATACTCCTCTCCCATCTGTGTCTGTGTTTACAAATGAGACTCCCACACAACTGAGGAGTCCTTCCTTTAATTAAAGTGATGATATGACCATGGTGAGTGGCTACACTGAATCTTTTAACTTCTTATGCATTCATTATATAAGCGGTCTCTCTGCTTGACCATTAATTTAAATACTCATGCAAAATCTAGGATTACTTGATGCCTTTCTCTCTTTCATGCAGGCTTATAATGACCTTAAAAGCATTAACTCAATGTGAGGTCACAGAATTATTTCAGCTGTGGATCAGTTGCTTAATAACAGTTTTCCCAGAGTCATGTAATCACACAGGCTGCAAGGTTCAAGTAATTCTTTCATTTTCTTCCTCCATATTAATGGATTTAACCACTCCTTGCACAAAAAGGAGAAATGAGCTAACAGGAGATTTTCTGTACTTGGGTTTACAGTGTCCAAAACATACAGAGAAGCATGTATCATCTGAAAAATTAGTCAGGTATTTCTTTATGTAACTACTTAAGAAATCAAATGCTGTTTCAAAATCAACCACCAATATAGTCACCTCTCACACAGTACGAGCAGGATCTCACAGTGTTTTACCATTAGTAACTAATGGCTTGTCTTTGACTATATCTTAAGTCAATTAAATAAGTTTATAGGCTGTGGTAGGCAAAAACTAACAAATTGCTTTTTAGTCATAATTTTTAATGGTTAAAAATTTAGCCTGGTTTTAAAGTGAACTTTCTCTTGATGAAATATGACATGTCCCATAAGCAAATTATTTGATTTTGACATTGCTGTGATACTGCTTTTTTTAGTGTCAGAAATATTTATGATTTTAAACAGGCCAATGCATGGATAAAATGTATACAAAAAATTGCCATAGTAACAGAATATGTTCCTGCCTCATAATAAACAATCGTTGAATGATGTTTATTAAAATTGGCTCTCAAGTGACAGTTAATAAATGCATAATTCTATTATGCATGCTAAATTCAGCATTCCAAAAACTTAAAAGCAGATAGATCAAAACAACAAAGATAAAAAGTCACAAAGACAAAATGCAGCAACACCAGTAAATGACAGGGAAATAATTCAGACTTAAAAAATGGCTTATTATTTAGTAACTTGTAGCAACGATTTATAAAACTAAATTAGAGGCAAATCAGAGTCTTTCTGATGTTTTAGATATGCAATTTCTCTGGTGCATATATTTTGATCATACAGCAGAGGGATTCACTTTACTAAGTCCCCTTCGCAAAAGCAAACACAGCCCTTCTCCCTCCCTCCCCTCCACCCCCCCCATTTTCGCCATGTTTCTGCTTTCAGGTAACACTTATTCGTGGATAATGAATGAAGAGAAAAAAAGCTTACAATAAAAATCAGTTATTAATGTATTTTAATTAAGACCCATAAACATGGCTTTAATTTTTGGAGAAGTTTGACTGTCCATATGGGGTGTGTTTCTATGTACATTTCATGTATGCCCAGATGTACTTGTACCAAACTACTCAAAACCGGATATAGTGGGCTTTGTGCCTTTCACTGTAACCACCCTATTGGCTCTGATGTTGCATAGGTTTGGTGTGATGATGAAAAGAGTTACTTCAACAATGTATTTTCACCTCTGTTTCTAAAAAGTGAAGGGCAAAACTTTTAATCAAGGAGCAGTTTATCTTTAATTAGGAAAAATATAATTAGGCATTATCACCTAATTGCTATGACTGATGGAGTAAGTCATATTTTCACAAGTAGTGACCCATGCTGAATTATCTCTCTGCTGTTTACCACATAATGAATCTGTATTTGTGTTTGGCAGCTAGTCAGCAAAAATTAAAAGGTAATCAACATGCTTCTCTGCAGTCAGGTCATCAAAGTCACTGGCTTCGCAGATGAGCAAATAACAAAGTCAAGTTGTGATGTCCTAACACAAACCCTTCTTTAGGAATAACTATGTTTATCTCTGTGAAGACATCAAATGGTACTTAAAATAACCATATACAAAAAGCTTTGCAAAGTAGATTAGAAGAACTGTGCTATACACCTGGTGTTGAGTTAAAAAACAGTTTAATGTCTCAAGGCACCACCACGGTAGAATTTTATACCTGCAAGTAATCATCTAATACACTATTATACAGTTAAGGTAATGTATTAATAAACAGCTTGTGCAATTTTGGGAAGCAATCTATAAAGGAATGTTAGATATACAGTAGGCACGTACTATAATACAAATAAAAAACAGAATTCCTAAAAAAAGCATGCTGAGCACCTTTTGGTATAGGTTGAGTTTCTTGTTCTAAACACTATGTAAATCTTAACTTACAAAAGGTAAAACTGAAAACTTATAGTAACTGCTTATTTAAACTGATTTTCCTGGGTGTTTGCCTTTATGTCACAGGTTTATTCTTAGGGACAGAAGACTCTGGTACTGGCTGTAAAGGGCTATCTGGTTCATTCAGTTGTGCGTTCAAGTTTTCAGAAGTTAGGAGAGAAGAATTAAAAACTATTTCACTTAAGTCTGATTTTATGGATACAAGATGTGGTTCTTGAAAACTTAATGGTTCTTCTACCAACACCTGTGTATTTTCTCGTGTCATTCCCATATCTGATGGTGACTTTCTTTTCATTCTTGTGTATGATTTGTCTAAATTCTCCATGCCTTGATCAGTTTTCTGAAATCGCCCAAAGAACCAGATGAAGAAACCAAACAAAGCAAAAGCCAGCAAACTTGGAATAAAAGCCAGGCATTTGACATCAAGGCTAGAGCCTATGAATCTGCTGTGCAAGAACATGTCTCCTTCGGCATAGGTCCGGTTCGTCAATGGGTTGGTGTTATTGGATCTCCACTCCCAGGATAATTTAGTTCTATTAAGGTCTTTCAAGCTTTCCGAGTCCTTCACTGTGTAGATCTTCTGCCCGGGACCGATATATTGACCATATTCATGAGGTTTGTAAAATATTTGGTTCTTCCACATATTCAGATCCAAGATCAAAACAAGGAAGATAATTCCATAGTTAAACCATTTGCCTGTTTAGAAAAAGAAAGTTTTGTCATGTAATATACCCATTTCAGAAGCAGTACAAATTCTGTCATATGTAAATGCTATTCAGAGGAAAAAGAAACCCAAACCAACAAATTGACTTTTTTTTTTTTTTAATCTATAAAGGAAAGCTGTAATTAAATTTCCCGTATAGATTTTTGCCGAATTTCCCCTAGCATTTCACAATTAGGTCTAGGCACATTATAAAATAGTTCTGTAGCACAAGCACAGCAGTATATCAAATGAATTCACATTGCATTTTGTAGGTGACCTGTCGATTAGACCACTAGGTGATCTGGTGTAGATCAATAAACTTAAAAGAAGCATTAATTCCAGGACTTATGAAATATTCACATGGAAGTTTTCCATGAAAAGGCCACAATAGATGGAACTGTTTATAAACCAGGAATGACTGAAATGACTGAATTTTTTTGGGGTTGGTAATTATGTAAATTGTTTGATACACCAACCATGATGCACAGACATATTCAGATGGGGATAACTGGATGAACTGTGATTTAGAGATACTACACCCTCCAGAAATAGCAAGGGCTGACTGTAGTCTTGGGAGGCTGGACAGCTGAGCTTTTCCTACAGTCCATGTAGTGAAATGCTCCTCCAAGGAGTGACTCATAGGCTGACATTCAGCTCCTGCAGTACTGGAGGAGGAAAACTTTCTCCTTTTATTATTTAAAGTTGCTCTTTTGCATGCTCCCTTCAGGCATCCAAAAGACATTAAAGATAACATTATGCAATTGCACCATGCTTTGAACAGGGTGTTGGAAGAGGTGAACTCCAGGTATCCATTCAGAATTATTTTATGAATACACAAACCAAATTATACTATTTTCTTAGTCAAAGCATCTCTTACATTCTAGCTGAACATCACCTGTGCATGTGATGACCACCCAAGAACCCACCAAATCTATGTTAGCATTACACGAAAGAACATGCATGGAGGAATGTTCCTGCTGGTAATGAAAGTCATTGGTCTGTGCTGGAGCCATATTTAAATATGTTTCAAGTGAAACAGAAAACACCTGTATCAGAGTACCTATCAAATGACTTATGCTTTGGCTTTTAAGGTATAAATGGATTCCAGTTCCTGAGTCTGTGTGTTCAAATTGTACAACTAAAATGCTCCAGGAGGGTAAGAATATCAACACCTTGTTTTTCAGCAGTTGAGTAACACACTTTTTGAAACAATAATTTTTCATCAAACTATTACTCTGCTTCAACCAGAAAACTGTTTCAACCAGAAACTAATCCCTTGCTTTATTGCCCTGAATTTAATTCATTAAGCCACGTTCTTTTCCCGCGAAAATGCATCATAAGCCCATCCAAGAACAATTTTCCATCAAAATGCTATCCGTGGTGCTTTGTGTTTCTGCCGAGTCAAGACTGGTGATTTTCTGGACCCTAAAGACTGTAAGAAGTGGAAAAACTCATGTAGGACCAGTACTGCTCTTTCTCGTCATCAAGACATGGCTAGCATGAAGATGTGTAGACAGAAAACAGAAAATAGAAAGATCAAAATACGAAGCATAATGAAACAGGGACATTATTGAGATGGCCTTTAGAAAGGCCAAAATACATTGTTAAGTATAACAGTGTCATAACTGAAACCTACAATTCTTGATTGTAGGTTTCAGTTATGACTGACAATGGAAACTTAGACATTGCAATGCTGAGCTATAACCAACTTCCTTTTTGGGTATGAAGGCACCCAGTGGATTTCACAGCAATCACCTGTGTGACCACATTGTCCTAAATGAAACATATGTAGAGCAAGCTACCTAAGGAGTAAGACTTGAGACAGCAGCCTGCAGCTGGTGAAGCTGACTAAGAAGCTAGTAGAAAACACTAAAAATGCTGAATAGAGGTAGCCAGGTGCTTGATCTCAGGCTTCACGTAGCATCTATCCTACACTGTGGTTTCATAATTGTGAATCTCTTCTAAAATGCATCTGCCTTAAAAAGGCTCAACCCCTCTTATGTTATGAATTTGACTGCTCACCTGATCTGAGATATACTTTTCAAGCATTCCTGTTTCATAAAAAGCACGAACTTGAAACTCCCTTGCTCAGTTCCTGGACAGTGTTAGGTGGGCAGAAGCACAGCTGTAAGCTCTGCTGTTGGGATTGTTGGGTCAGTGTGGACTATTAAGGATGCTTAGACAAGCAGCTTTGATGTAGACACCCTTAAGATGAATCACAACCTGTATATCTAAGTGGCACCTAGGTGCCCGAGACCTGCCTCTGTTCCATAGTGGATCTTCTCACAATTCCTTAAATTTCTAATTTCTAGACCATTTTTCCATCCCCTGCATCACTGTCATGCTTGATGAACTCTGTGATTTTTCCTCCTCTTTTGAAAACTGTTGTCACCAGAACCAAGCACTGTATATGAGTAACAGTCTCGCTATAACCATATATGAACACAATGACATCCTCCTACTCCTACTCAGTATTCCCTGCAGCCAAGGGCTGTGTTAATCTCCTTAGACACAAAATCACTGGGAGTTAGCGCTGTCTTGGTTACTTACAGAAAGTATTTGCCTCTTCCTAGAATACAGTGTCCTCTGCTGTCTATCTTCGAAGACATGTACTTGACTGCTGTACTACCAGGTGTGATAGCCTCTTCAGTTTAACGAGCAAACCTTCTAGATCAGTGATAAATGTGTTGGAGCAGACTGAACCAAAAGGCCTGACAGTGTTCACTCACAAACCTCTACTTAATGGTAATTCCCCATGACAAGGAATTTTTGAGACGACTTATACTGACCAACATTTAACATTACACATATACATGTATAAAATGATTGTCCATTGCAACTTAATTTTAGCATAATGGTTTTTACACTAAGTCGTACATGAAGCTTACATGGGAAATCAACTTCATAAATTAGACTTCACTCCTGATGTCCCACCTTGCACACAAACAAGCTCAAGTTGTTAGTTTTGCACAGGGTCAAAATAAATATATTAATGAAGCTGTGGATATTAATTCTATTTGTGAGTCTGTGATGTAAAATGTGAAATGTTTTCCTAGGCACTGTAGGCTACAACCACTTTTTGGGGATGAAAATTTGATCCCTATTTTCTAAGCATAACTATTGAGGAGGATTGTATTCTCATGGCTAGGGCACTCATCAGAAGGGAAATCCTGACTGCAGAACAATCTCTGCTTATAGCAGTTTGGCTCTGCATTGTAGGACCCTGCTCTGAACACCAGCCTATATGGGATTCTGCTTAGAAATACTCTGCACATCCTGTTGAAGCTGAGCAAATATGCATGCAGATGAATGCCAGGAGCCTTCTCATGGTCAAAGAGGTATGGATTTTTCTTTTTCCCTTTTCCAGAAAGGCATCAGCTGAAGAAGATGTTTGGGCAGTGGTCATTTGAAAAGAGGCTGATAAGGTTTATGACAGGTTCAGCAACCAGTCCACAATTCAACATGCGACTAATTTACTGGGCAATTGAGCAGATCCTGCAGGTCCAAGTATTCCAAACCAGCTGCTGATTCTGGAACATTCTTATTTTCGTATGCCCACTCTGTACCTGAATGATGATGTCCTAAAAGAAGAGCTCTCATGTAGAAACCAGTCCTCATCATCCCTCCTGAGGTCAAGAGGAAATTCAAAAATTCCACTTATTGAGGCTAGACTCAGGTAGCCTCACACTGTGTAACCACAGTCAGAGTCTAGTATAGTAAATGTTGGCTTCTCAGACACCTCTGTAAAACATTTAGGTATGTTTGAAATGTTCTTCATATCTCTGGTCATATTAGTCCTATTAGCTAGCTACATGCATACTTCTAGGTGAACTAAGGCGCACATCCTCTGACTTTTTTTCACATCTGTGTGCACAGACAGCTTTGTTTTTACCTCTAACCTTTCTGGGTTTGCACACAGGCTCCTTCAGGCTTCCTTGTATAGGTGATGCTTGGCCTGAATGCCAACACATGTTGGTTTAACTCCACAAGCCAGCCATGCTAGGCACTCGCCACCAATGAAGATGATAATTCCTCCTTTGGGTGGAAGGGCACTCTGGTTACATCAGCACTCAGAAACATGTTTCTAAACAGCCAGAAAAAAATCTCCCATCTGTTTTGATGTCCAAACCTTAACATTTCCTATTTGAAAATTATTCGCACACTTGACAGAAGATGCTCTTGGATCTCCAGTGCTGCTATTAAAGGGTACCAGCCAGGCCCCATAATGCCTTTTAACCATGAAAGAATCTGAAGTAACAAAATTTACTTTTAAGTTTTCCCTGGGTACTATAGAAACTAGGGTAGACTATGTATTTTCATAAACAGCAGCCCAAGAAGGAAAACACACACTTTGCAATGAACCATCTGTCAAGGGAAATCCAGATGAGTTAAGCAGATGCTGGAATTCAAGTTATTTCTGATGTTCATAGATAAAAGCAGCTATCAAAACAGGATAAAAATATTTAATACTGAATAGGTTCTTGCTATGAGTTCCTAGAAGCAAAGAAATTTCAGCAAAATGAGGTACTCAGTTACCAGTAAAAATAAGATATGTTTTTGATAGTAAATTTAAAATTACACCGAAGCATATAAGCTACAGGCTGCAGATGTTAATTTGATATTACTACCAACTTACCCCATTCAGAAATCATAAATCAGGCCTAAAAAAGCATGTTATTAGTTTAAAGTAGCAAGATGGGTTAAAAATAATACACTTAGCACTGTTATATTTATCTGTCATTTAGATACGGGAGTTACACGGAAGCAACATTTCTTCTCTGCAATCATAAGCTTTATTTTATGAAAGCTGAAATTCTCTCATAGTCACTGAATTCAGGACCTAAGACTTTAAGACAAAATAGAAAAAGAAAAGCAAAGCAACTGTCTTAGGACTTGGGATAAAATCAGGCATGCCAACATAGAGCGTGTAACTGTGAAATACTTCATCTGTAGAGCACTTGCACAAAGCCATTAAATACACACCAACAGAAAGGTGGTTTAAAGTCCTTTACTCCTCTGAACGTTCCATTACTTACAGCTGCTTCTATGTGGGACTGTTGCTTGTTAGAGCAACCCAGCATCGAATTGGGCTGCTCAGGGGAGTCCTAGGGCTGCTCTTACATCGATCAACAGTGACCAAAACTGACTGTAAAAGAGTGACATTTCCCAGGTAAAAGATGGTAAGTGTTATTTCAGCCTATATTTCTCCTTGCTATTTGAGAGAAAAGCGTTTCCAGTTTCTACAAATCAGGTCACAGGTCATAGATTTACAGCTTGACTTTATCCCTATAGCAAGTACTAAAATAAAAAATATTCAGGCCTTAGTCTTCTTTTCCTGCTTGTTACTAAAAAGAAGTCCTATGGCTTAATTTAACATTCTGGATTCCATGTATTAAACAGGGCTTAAATGCAGCAGGCTGCCTGCCATTATCAGTGTCCTATCCCTATGTCATTTGCTGCAGTTGCATTCATACGCATCACTCCCTACCATCATTTTAGATTGGACTACATTCATCTTGCTATATATATTTAACCAGTTCTTCTTTCCTTTTATTAGCTTCTTGTTTTGAGTAGAAAATTACAAGTATCTAAGCATCCACACAATAGCTGGAGCTTGAAAATGATCCAAGATTATACCCTGACCTAAGACAAGAACTGATGGCAAGAACAGATGGTTCAAGCAAAACTTACCCAAAGGGAGGCTCTTGTGCCATGTGTTATCACTGTTTATTAGATCTCTTAAAGGGTGGCGTAGCACCAAGATAAAACAGGCACTCAGTAGACAGAGTACGTGATGTGCAGTCAAATGGATTGATTTGTCTAGTGAATCTAATAAATGGATCTTGTTAATGCTGAGCAGGGAAAAATATTCCTCAGCCCCTATTCATTAGCTCATCCTTATTAAAAGAATGCCTTCTTGCCAGAAAATCAGAAAGGCCTCCAGTCCTCTCTGCGGAAAACTCTACAATGCATAAATATTGGTTTCCCTCAGTTGGTCTGTTTTCAAGCAGCAGCACTGCAAGCAATTGTATTTCTGATAGGATAACTGATGGTTTTTACTGTTTCTTGTTCTTTGCTCTTCCATGTTTATCAATATCTCTGTCTCTTCTACAATGCAAAACTGACCTTTGCTCTTCTATCACCCACTGTTTTTCATCTACATTAACTATAATAGTCTGCATTTCTGTATGCGATGCTGCCACCCATCCTACCATACTTCAGTCATTGTTCAAGCCCCTCTGTGCATCCATTGCACTACTTCTCTTTATACAATGGAATAAACGCAGGGCATCAGGGAGCCTTGTGGGACTCAGCCCACCCAAATTCATGCACTAGTCTTGAGAAGCAGAAAAAAAAATATTTTTAACTAACATGCCTATAATTCATACCAAGTATTTGATGCTTATACTTTTTTTTTTCCTCTCCTTTTTTGCTCACTTGGGTGACAAAAAATGTATTCATTATGTACACATCTCATTTCCTCTCAACCTACACCTCTAGTTCCTGACCATGAGACCATGTACTTCATCCTGTTCCAAAACAGAGAAGAGATTCAGAGCAGCCCTGCGGAGAAGGACTTGGGGGTGTTGGTTGATGAGAAAATGAACATGAGCCGGCAGTGTGCGCTTGCAGCCCAGAAAGCCAACTGTATCCTGGGCTGCATCAAAAGGAGCATGACCAGCAGGTCGAAGGAGGTGATCCTGCCTCTCTACTCTCTTGAGACCTCACCTGGAGTACTGTGTGCAGTTCTGGTGTCCTCAACATAAAAAGGACATGGAACTGTTGGAACAAGTCCAGAGGAGGGCCACGAGGATGATCAGGGGACTGGAGCACCTCCCATATGAAGACAGGCTGAGAAAGTTGGGGCTGTTCAGCCTGGAGAAGAGAAGGCTGCGTGGAGACCTCATAGCAGCCTTCCAGTATCTGAAGGCGGCCTATAGGGATGCTGGGGATGGACTGTTCATTAGGGACTGTAGCGATAGGACAAGGGGTAATGGGTTAAATCTTAAACAGGGGAAATTTAGATTGGATATAAGGAGGAAGTTCTTTCCTGTGAGGGTGGTGAAGCACTGGAATGGGTTGCCCAGGGAGGTTGTGAATGCTCCATCCCTGGCAGTGCTCAAGACCAGGTTGGACAGAGCCTTTGGTGACATGGTTTAGCGGGAGGTGTCCTTGCCTGGGTAGGGGGGTTTGGAACTTGATGATCTTAAGGTCCTTTCCAACCCTAACTATTCTATGATTCTATTCTATGAAAACCACTGGTGGCTCAAACAGTCTCACTCAGACTTGCCCCAGCCCTATTTTCCTCTTGATGACCGTATTTTTTCTCTCAGCATTCCAGCATGACACCTAGATGTAATTCCGAAAAACTTTCTATCCCTCCATCTGTACTTCCTACGGCCAATTGCCTTCCCTCATTCAATAGCCAACATGTAACTTTTGCAATCATTTTCTCTTCTCTTCTGGTTTTTAATCTGATCACTCAGATTTCTACCTTCTCTATTGAAAATGCCTTTTCTGAAGCCTCACTATCTTGACTGATCCCTTGGTTCATCAGTCTTTCCTCACTGGCACATTTCCTTCCCTTGGCTTTTGCTGCCTGGTGAGCTTGTGACTAACCTGCTAGCTCTTGGCCTTATCTTTGTGTCATCTCTGAATGCTCCTTTTGTCCCTGATCTCTAGGAGTTTCACCCAGCTGTGCCATTGGATGCCCACATCTATCTTATTGCTGTACAGAATCATGTGTTGTGATTATTTATGTTAGCAGTTAAAGACCCTTGACAATTCACACCTGCATTCTTCCGGTATTTATTGTTATGCAACTTTTGCCAATGCAGGGAGGGCAGCTATGCTCCTGCATAGATGGAAGGTAAAACCAAAGTATTAATCCCTATTTAACCTTTTTCTCTCTTTCATTTCCTACTGTTATTAAAATACTGTCTCACAGTATGCAAGGATCAGGTACTTTTTATCTATATGTACCATCCATTTGAATAACTGCAATTCTATTTTATTTGAGGTTATTTAACTGTCTGCTTCTGGTTAGATGACTGATGGAAGTATGGTTATGAGTGGCCTTTACCAGATGAGAATGACCGAAGTTATGAAAAGATATTAGCATAAATCATAGCAAAAGCATCTGAAAGCATAAGAGATTTGAAGATGAAATAAGCTGCTAATTCCCCAGGAGAGTAATTTTAGATAAAAGATCTATAAAGCTACATTAGGTATTACTTAGTGTCACAAGAAGTTGCTGGAATCCATGAAAAACTGCAGGTCTCTCTGATTTGAGAGATACAGGTTCTTCATTTGCCTGAAATCTTTATGTATGGATGATATAGATTTGGACAGAACCAGAAAAATAGCAACCTGGGACACACACACACACACACATATATGTGGCTAAGAACATGCTAGCATACATTTGTTACACAGAAGCAGTTAGCTGTGTGATTGTGCCACAATCTGAAACATCACATACCTGTTATATGTATGTGATACTCCTCTTTGAGGATCTTTTGGAAATAAGGTACTTTGAACTGCATGTGTGCAGATGGTAAGCCTGGAAGATTCACTTCAACATCGCCCATAAAATGTGGAAACTCCCAGTCCTGTTAAAATAAAAGTTAAGAGGTAAATATAAGCTTTCACAGTATATTTTTACCCTTTAAAATGGCTTAAATAAATAAAAGGGAAGGATTCTATTTTTAAGCCTTCTACGATTGGATTTTCTTGTTTTAAGGTTTACTGAGTCACTTGGAATAGAATACTTTATTTATATTAGACATTAAACGTGATTTTTACTTCAGCTCCATGCAATTATGTGTTTAAAAGTTCACTTCACAATGATAATACTGAACCCACTGTAACAGCTGATAGTACAAAGTAGTCTAAGCATACGAATACTAAGTTGTCTAAGCATATGAATACCTATATAGCAAGCTTGCAATACAATTACAACTTCTGTTACTAATTTGACAAACAGTTTACAGGTAAGAAATTGACAACGAAAGCCTGACCCCTTCAAACATTTAATGTATCTGTATTCAGCTTATAGGTTGTTTCCTGTATTTGGCCTTAATGCATCTAAATAATCACCCTGCAAGTGCACGGCCTTCAGTGCAATCTGCCTGAATCAATCCAAGCAGTTATCTCTGTTTCTGTATTTCACCTGACAGGGTAATGCTGGAAATGTGGAAGCTCTTACCTATCATTTTGCATACTTTGGTAGCACATGGTAAGCCAGCTGAAGAGGATCTGCATTTAAAGGAATTTTTCTCTTGGTTATCTGCACCCACCATCAGTCACTTGAAAATGGGTATAACAGCATGGCTCACTAGAGCCCAAACTGAAAGCCTAGCAATAGTGCTAGTCAGTCAGATTAGTGCCTGAGTGCTTCCTCTGTGCACCACAGATTGTGGTGATCTACTGTTACAAACATACTGGCCATGTTCCCATGCATACCTCTGGACTTGTATCTCACAAGTTGGTGCAACAAGCACCTGAATTACTGAAAGTAAAAGAATCTGAAATGGACGGAACTCTCTCAGTGACTTGTGCTTCCTTCACATGAAAAACATTCCAGCACAGCCATCTCCCAACTCCATTGCCAATTCCTTTTTTTTTTCTTTTCTTTTTTTTTCCCCCGGTTCTGTAAGGCTGAAATTTTCCTACCAGGGTAATGAAAAAAGTTATTCAAAACTAAGAACCTTCTCTGAGAGATAAATCACTGTATATAACTTAACTTCTGAGAACTGTTAAGCGCTTCAACATTTTCTGCAGTGGAAGGGAAATGGAACAGTTTTATCAGCAGGGAATAGCATAGCCCAAACACTAACAGCAGCTGATTTGTGCTAACTCTTTGTGATCCTGAGTTAAATGGATTAACAGGAGCACAAGCAATGAGAAAACCTGACTCTCGGTACCTGTTTCTCAATGTTCACAGAGATAGAGAAAGTGCCAATTTACAGATGGAGAAACCAGAAATAAGGCTGCTCTCTTTTTGCCTTATCACTAATGCAAACCATGCATTCCTGGTCACAAGGTATAACTGCCCAGCTGCACAATCCCTTACACTGCATCTCCAGCCATCCCCTCGCAGGTGGTAGGCATTCAGAAAGTGCCCAAATATAAAGATTTTGTGAGTATATGTTCTCAGGTCACAGTATCTAATATCTATCTGTCTCTAGACTGGTGTCTCATGTTAAGTCATACATACTATCACCCAGGAATAAACAGGAAGAAATACATTACATATTCCTGAAGATAATCAAACAGAGAGCTGCATTAGAAATAAGTAAACAAGGGACCATAGATCTGGCCTCCTGCTCTTGCTTTCCCCCAGTGTTCCTACTGTGCCTTTTGCTGACTTACAAATAAAATTCCACCATACAGAATTTTATATTGGACTGTGTCTTTGCAGCTGAGTTTTATAAAAACTTCAGCATTTTTTCTGATCTGGATGAATATTACCCGATAATGAGTAACTGGAATGCTGGCTCTGTCAGATATGCCATTTACTGTATTATTTGTCTCAGCAAACCCACTTACTTGACACTTAAACTATGGCTACCTTTCATGTGTACACTATTTTACATTTTCTACCTACCTACCCCATATTGTATGAAGTGTGCCTGAATTGTACCATGACCTCTGTTACCCTGCAGCCCTGTAATATGGTATTGCTATTGCTAGAGAGATGGGCATAGGCTGGCAGTGGAGACCTCACAGCTATAAACAACTCACCAGTGCTAAAGAAATGCAGACTGGGGCTGGACAAAACTGCTTTTAGAAGCAATGAGGAGAACAAAGAAGTGTCTAACATGTGAAAGGCACTGTATATAGTAAACCTGGCTGTAAACCTGGCTGTAAGGGGAGCTTCAGATCAGTAAAAATACAGCAAGGTCTAAAAGTGTGTTAGCAAACATAAAAATGCTCATAAGTGAATCTTAGGGAGTGAGGAAAAAGAAACCATCATAATGAACATCATATCCTTTCCATTAAAGGACTCCAGATGCCAATGACACTCCATAATGCTCCACTGATTCCCACCAGACTGAAAATGCCCATTTCAGGACCTGCAGGAGCAGGGGGAGGGTGAATGAAACACTGGGAAAAGGGGTAGAAGCTAAGAAGTGTATGCAGAACAATATTGACATTATTATTGTTATTGAAACTTTTTTCTGCACAAAGTATTATTTTCTGTAGTAATCAGATCTCAACTAATGACTCTTGGATTACACTGTTAAAATATAAATGATACTAGCAATAAGTTCTGCTTTATCTATAAGGTGTTTCTTCTTCGCCATAAATAACATTTCAAATGTAACACCTTTATTCGTATGATTATAAAATCTGTTATTTAAAAACAGCCCCACTGGAAATACAGAAATAAAACAACAACAAAATAAACCAAATCACAATAAAATGCATTTGAAAACAATATTAAAAAAGGAAACTAAAATAATGAGTTAAATCTACTGACTTCCTTGAAAGTCATTACAGTCACAGCACTTAGGAATATGAAACTTTAAGTTAGGTGATTAAATAGCCTTCAGGGTTTCATTTGGCTTACAGCTTTGGTAAATGTGAGCATTTACTGTTCATGTAGTGACATTATCACCCGTGGACACATAGCTGTAGTATTATAGTGCAGGAGAAGAGCAGATGACTATTAACTTTTCAGGCTAATGCCAGTATTAGGCTGTCAAATCCAAACCCAACAAAATGGCCATTTTGCCATCTAGATTCTAAGAAAGTGTTGTCCAAAATCTTTTGACTTTGTTACCAGTCTTTTCCCCCTGAAAAGCAAAAGACAACTTATTAAAAATGATTTTTCCAAGAAATTCAAGATGCCTTGCATGAATAGTGGGCCTCATTTGTTAACAGGTAACTGGAACACAGATCAGGTCTGCACCATGCTTTCATACATAGTATTTTCTCTCTCTGGTCTCTGCTATCAGTCTGTGCAATCAGTCTGCGCTCACCTCTGGGAAATGAGTGACGTAAGTGATGTTCTTTAAGTTCTCAGCTCATAATTATGTAAAGTTCACGTGATCAGCTTTAGTTCTTATTGCTGAGGTGCCTGCGCTCTGACATATCTGGGATCTCATTAGGAACTGGGAACAAAATGCCATCTTTAGAATGTATCTCTGCTGGCAGAGTTTGAAAAATAAAGCCATACAACCAAACTGTTAGTTTGCATTTGTAGCTCTCATATTGCCTGAACAGATATTGTTTCTTCTTTAAATCCATCAGCATCATATTTCTAATATTCATCTACTCCAGTGGTTTCTAACCTGGCAGGTCAGCAGCACACCTCTATGCAGCTTCTGAAAGAGAAACCAACCCAGAACCAGCAGGCTTAAATTAGCTGCACAGAGGTGTCTAACCTCACTGGCAGGTTCTGTGGGCTGTGCAAATCAAATGAGGTTATTGCCTCATTTCACTCTAGTCATGAGAAAAGGGCAGCCAGAGGATGAATTTAAGATCGCTGAGGGGTCCATCCTAGTGTTCCAGTGGGCAAAGTGAACACCTCTGATTTTCATCTGCTACCTCATTAAACCCAGAAGCACAGACAAAAAAGGATGCTGCAAAAGAGATCATGATAGTTTTGGTTTTCTTCCCTTTGTTTCGAGTTCCTCCCCCAAATAAATGCATACACTCTCTGCTGCAATGTCAGGTACTGATTTAAGAACCTACAGTGGAGTTGACAGCACTGATTTGATATTTTGTTAAGTAAAAGATGTATTTAGTAATGGTAACTGAACATCAAAGCCACGCTTTCTGGTATGATCTGACCTTTTTCTGCCATCACCTGAGGAAAAGAGAAGGCATTGCCTGGGGAAGACCCATCCTGACCGCAGCCAGGACACAACAGCAGCCCCAGGGCTCCTGGCCTGTTGGCACCACCAAGCATCCTGGCTGGCTGGGGGATTGCTCCTTGCTGCTTGATGTCTTTTATTGAAGGCTCTCGGCAATGTCTCCCAGCACCAGAGGACCTGGATCTGATGCCAGCAGGACTCAGCAAGGGATCACAATGCCATGCTAGCCCTCCCATGCTACATGCACACATGACCCCACATCCCTCAGCCGCCCCCTTTCCACCCAGGGAAAACTGTAACACAGAAGGCGGGACTGGTATTAAAACCCAGTAACTCCCCATAGTTAACAAATGTGCTTTCATCTCTCCTCCTGAATAGCTCATAGGGTGCTTGTGACAAAGTAAATATGAAATATCATTAAAAATAAAACACACTGTTCAGATAAAATCATGAAAGAGGAAAAATGTGCACTGAATATTTCTGCTTTAAGTAGTGATATATGCTGTATTTTAATGCTAGGAAAACATTTGTACTTTAAAGCCCTTGGAATAATAAATAAACAAAAATAGAGGGAAGAAACTGAGAAAATGCATATATGAATGTGCATATGTGCTCCAGAAACTGCCAACAGCAGTTTTTGTTTAAATTATTAAAATCCTTTTAACATGTGAGATAGAAGATTGTGAGTTTCAGGTATCTGCATCTCTTAGATAGCTTTGTTTCAACTCTCAGAACATGGCAGACAGGCAGGCAGACAGAGGAAATCTAATGAGAGGCAATGGCTACAT